TGATCAACTAATACACAAACATGAAGAAATGCAAAATCGTCATCTTGATCAAGTTTCTTCTCTTCAGACGGTCCAAGGTGGTGATACTCAAAGTTCTATTTCGCAACATCACGCAGAACTTCAAACCATGCATCATAACTTGCAAACAGAGCTTAAAAATGGTCTTAGAGGGATACATGATGAATACCTAAAGATGCTGGAACGACAACAACAACTTGGTAACGAAATTAAGAGTTCACAAGCTCTTCAGAACCGTCTTACTGAATTTGAATCCGAACTCAATAAGTTACTCATGATGAATGCACATTTAACAACTGAAAATACAAGACTTTTAGACGAAAACCATAACATCAGATTAGAGATATCTAATAATAAAGACAAAACTTTACGTGCTGAAAAGGACCTTGATTTGATTCGAAACACGGTAAAATCGGTAGAAACACAAAAGGCTGCACTGAATGACATGAATAAAAACCTGGAAAACAAAATACGTAATCTACAAAATTCGCATAATGAAATTTATAAAGAATGTAATGCATTACAACAACAAAAAGATGAACTTAATGTTAAGCTTGTTCAAATAGAAGCAGATCTCTCCGAGTCGAAACTAAAAAATCAAGAATTAGAGCATAAAATACTCATGGAAGATAGTTCTTCTAAAACTAAAGAAGATAACTTACGGAAACAACTACAAGAAGCTAATCAACAAATCATCGAACTTCGTGCAGACCAACGTCGAGTAAAAGAACTCGAAAATGAAATAGAAACTCTTAAAAGCAATGAGTCTGTCCAGTTAAAGTCAAAGAGTAAGGAAATTGATGGATTGAACAATCAAATAGCTCAACTTAACCGGAGAGTCAATGAACTTGATAATAGTCGGTCCGAATTACAACAAAACAATCAGAAAGAAATTGCATCACTCCGTGCTTCCAAGCAGGAATTGTTACAACTCCATGACCGCAATAAAACCCTTGAAGATGAAATTTCTAATGCACGTAAGCATAATAAAGAGCTTGAAAATAAAGTTGATGAACTTGAAGCAAGTCTTGTTGAATATAAGAACATTCGAGAAGAGTTCGAAAATGTCAACCGGAGAGTAAAGAGCATGGTAGATTTTGAAGCCCAGTATAACGAAAAAGTTGAAGAGTTTAATAGACTTCGTTTAAGAGTTCAAAAATTGGAATATGCAGAAAAGGATCTTAAATTCACTCTTGAAGATAAGAAAGAATTATTAAATCGTGTAGAAGCATTAGAAGCAGAAAATAAAATGCTGTTAGAAAATAATCGATCACAAAAGAACGCGAATGCTACGTCAAATACGTATTCATATGGACCTAAAATGAACGAGTATGAAGATCGAATGATCTCAAGGGATCATCCACCTTTGTATAACAATCAACCTAACGGGAACTTAGAACAAGCACATTACAATTCCCGGGTGAAACCGTTTAGTAGTGAATACAATTATCAGACATTCAGTCAGTCACCTGCTAATGGTGGTATTAATTTAACACAACAAACAACATCCATGCCACATATGATAAATGGAGCTACACAACAACAGCAACCATCTCAGCATCAACCATTTATTCCTCAAACACAAAGTTCATCAGCACCACCACCACCACAACATATACAACCTGGATATTTACCTAATGGATCACTTTCACAACCTCCAACTCAACCTCAACTCCAAGCATTTGTTCCCTCTGTGCCTATCCGTTCAAATACTCCCGTTCCGTCACAGAAAATGCCGCAAAAGCAGGATCAACAGCAACTACAACAATCTCCACTTCCATCACGACAAACACAACCTAACCAAGAACAATCTACTGTGAAACAAGAAAGCAAGACTCATAGTCGTCAAGGTTCTCGTTCAAATAATATTGGAAGTAGCGGAAAGAAGCAGCGCAATCAGGCTGCAAAGAAGAAAGATCGAATTAGAAGAAATTCGACGACGACGGAAAATTCGGATAATCCATGGACCAAAAGTGACTCAAAATTGGCCGACAAGCCTTTTTGGAATGAGACTTAAATTTATGGTTTAATTTTATTTTTGGAATAATATTTATCATACACATATATGTATTTTTTTAATATGAAACGCTTTTATTAATTATTCGTAGTAAAATGACGATATTATTTTTTGAATTTTATATTTTCTGTGTTTGTATTTTATTGTTTTGTTTAATTTAGATATCAAACGCTAGGAATGTAAATAAGAGAAATTGTTAAAATTTTAACAATCAAATGGGTTTAATTATTTTGAATTGTTGTGAAAAAGGACTTATCTCTGTTTTCAAATAATCATGTTCTAAATTGTAAGATCATTAGAACTATTAACAATTAAAATTATTTATGAGCTTCACAATAAGATAATTTGTAAAAGTGATTTATAAAATAAAATTAGTAATAAAGATAACCTGGGCCGTTAAGTATTAGTGGAAACAAAGTTTCCACTTGTACACGTACGGGCATGATCTTGGTATAGTGATTAAGATATTATTTTATATTTACAATACACATATTTAAGGATTTAAGTTATAACTACGTAGTCAAATTATTAACTTGTTAGATAAAATAACTTTGGGTAAAAAAAAAAAATAAATTTATGTTTAAAAAATAAACAAGAAAAAAAATTTTTTTAAGAATCAAGTTTATTTACTCAAGTAACTGAAGTATCTTAAACTTCATGTTTATAATCCACTTTAATAAGTATCAATAAGAATATTTATAATATAAAGATTCATGTTTATTTAAAAACATGTCGCAATCAAAGAATATCTTCGTGCGGGAAAAATCGAATAGATTTTTTCTCTAATAGTATCGCTAAAGAAATTATTTTCAAACTAGTCTTAGCGTGATTTAAAGTATTCCAGTAAAACGTTCCTAGCTTCGGAATCTTCACCATAATCTTTAACAACAACGCAAGAACAGCCAACAACTTTGCGAGGATTTCCTTCTCGATCAATTTTACAAAGACCTGCCCATTCACCAAGTTTTTTTGCGTCGCTGACTTTGATCAATTGAATATTATGTTCAGTGCAAAGAGCTTCGACAAGTTTGATGTATTCCTTTTCAGTACAAGTTTCGACAAGGACACACAAGAAAGCCTGGCGTCTGAAAAATTAAAAAAACCATATTATAAGATTTATTAATTTCAAGTGTGACAATCCAGAATTTCGATCAATTACCTATCCAAAGCTTTGGCACATTCTCTTAGCCCACGCGCTAAGCCATCAACGACGAGTGCACGTTTTAAGACATCTTTGAGAGCTTCTTCAACAGTCTATGTATTTATATATCGTAAGGGTTTTCCATTTTATTAAAATCGTTTTTTAGCTATTATAGACTCGGAAAAAAAAGGAGATAACATACCATAGCACCCTTTGCGGGAGTATCAGAAGTAATGTGAATTTCTTCTTGTGCTCCAACTTCAACAGCATCTTCTCCTTCAGCTTCATCATCTCGGTCTGTTACCAAAGGCGGCATTTTAGTTTTACTCGTTCAATGTTAAAACCTTATTGGATTTGGTAACTCTAGACGTCCTCACTATTGAAGAAAAAGTTAATCATTGAAAGTAAAGTGGATGGATGCGTATATACTACGCTTTGTATATGATGTGACAAGAAATTAATGTCACTAACATGATGTACTTTCTCGCAAAGAGCGATTAATCTAAGAGGAGGATCAAAATTTTATGTGATTCTGCTTTTTTTATATAGTAATTTTTTTTTGGTTTATGATAATCTATTCGTCATACTGATATTTCACGATTTTCTCACTGGAATGTATTCATCTGATTGGCTAATCTAAATGTGACTATTGGCCAATCAAATTAGTTAGCGACTAATTTTGTTTTCGAGCTTCAAGATTCTAACATAATGGTTCTTTCTTGTTCGTGTATCTCGTTACGATAATATAATCGATATTTTTTATATACCAAAAAAAGGATTCCGATTTCTCAATACAAAGTCTATCAATCTATGCCGGATTACCCAATTCACCCTGGTTATCAGAAATAGCCCTGTTTGTGATCCGGAAATGTTCGTGTAAATGGTTAGGTATCCGGAGCTTAACGTTAACCACTAAACTACGGATGTGTGCACATCAATTTTCAGTCATAATGGTCCAATAAAATTGTCGAATTTCTCCACGTGAGTTCGTAAATTAGCCAATCATATGAATGTCTTCCTTTGATAATCAGTTCACAATTATCGTTATCGTATTTAAACCCGAAATTACGCATTATGTTATATGGAAAATTTTTTATTCCAAGAAAATGCATAGAATAACATCACATCTTTCAACATTAACTTGTTCTCGATAAACTTGCAAATTTAAAACATGGATAATAAAGTTACCATTTATGTAAAAGACCTCAAAGATATAAAAATTGTATTGCTTATCGTTCATTTTTATACGAACCACCTAAGGAAGAACGCTTAGATATTTCTTTAGAATTTTCTACGGCTAAAGAAGTTTTGCCTCTTCTCCATGCGGTTAGGACACGTGATCAGGATGCCACCTGGAAAATATACCAGGAGCTTCAACAAACACGAAAACTTCATCTTTTATCACCTCAACAACATTCTATTGTATTAAAATCATTTGATGTTAATGGTAAATATCCATTCACCAAGATAGAAACAACCATTTTAAAAAAGAAACTTTTTTATATTTTCGATCAAATGAAAGAAGTTGGTCACGATCCGAGTGTAATAGATTATTCGCATATGATGAATGTTTTTAGCAGAATAAGATTACGTGAAATTTGTGATAGTTTGTGGATAGAGTCAGTCGAAAAAGGACTTCAACCATCAATATATTTGTTTAATTCATATTTATCTTCATGTTTACGACGTAGGGAACCTTTATTGAAAAAAGTTAATTATATTTTAAGAAATCTTGAAAAAAGTGGGTTGAAACCTAATCTAACAACTTATGCACTTTTAGTACGTTTGTATTTTGAGGCGCGAGATATAAAATCAGCACAACAAATTCTCGAGTTTGGATTTTCTACGGAAAATTATTTAGAAGTGGAACAACATAAATGGGCAATTGTTCGCGCATTTAAATGTATGATGAAAGCATATGGATATAAAGGAGACTTGAAATCAATGGATGAATGTTATCGACATTTGCTACGTTTAAAAATTAAACCGGACATTTATGTTTTCAACACACTTATAAGATATTCATGTTCACATTTAAATTTACAACAAGCAAATCAATATTATGAGGAAATGTTACTTCCAGAATTCAGTGTTACACCTAACGCGACGACGTTTCAAAACATTATTTATTGTTTATGTGAAAAAGGAAAAACTCGAGAGTGTTGTAGATATATAGAACAAATGAAAGAACAATTTAATGCATTACCAACAGAAAAATCGATAGGATTAATTTATAATACAATGATGAGAAAAAAAAGGTTTGAAGATGCCAGTGCATTTGCAGAAAAATGGAAAATTCCTGATGATTGGCATCGAAAATCAAAATAAATGTCTATATATATATTGATTTTACTTAAATTTATATAAATCCTCATATGGAAGTATTTGAAAGATTTAAAAATGAAAAGAGTAAGTATTCTACGTATATGATATTCTATGAGAATAATTTATTATAAAATTTAATATTGATAATTTTATAAATTATATTATTCAGATAGTAAATTGAAAAAATATATTCTTCAAAGACATTATTATTGTATATGCGGCATACATCCAACTTTATTACGCGATAATTTCTCAAAATTGCATAATGATAATATTATACAGTAGAAGCATTTACTATATTAAGAATGAATTTAAACTAGAATATTTATTGAATTCTTGTAACTAAAAGTTTAGATATTATCTGGAATGGAGCTGAAGCAGTATTATTGCTAAATCAGGAACATAGAATCTATTATACAGTAGACCTCGCTAACTATAAGTTTTTAGAAACGCCGTACCCAAAATCTTAATTCCAGCCCCAGATAAATAATCGGTGTGATGCTACAACTAATACTGTAACATGTGAAATTTGGCATCATACGACAAAGTATGATCACAAGTTTGAAACTAACATATATGTATTTTAGTACCCGTTAGCCACTATTATATATACCAAATAGTGATCCAGGATACACGACGGGGACGTCGGTACTAAAGGTAGCCCATAAACCGACAATAATAGGTGAAGAATAAAATAAGAAGTTTATTCTAATTTAAAAGGCTTCACCAAAAGTGCGAATCAAAGCGAAATTCATCTTTTTTAATAAATGCAAACACGCTTCTTGGGTTAAATTAGCTTGAATATAATCACTAAATCCTGCCGGTAAATATAAAAACTGTTATTTCCCGGTTGACTAATTGCATATTAGGTTTTCACTCTTATTTTGTGGGTGCCTTAATTATCAAATATTTTCTCGGATTTTTTCGGCTCCTATTGGAGCTGTAAAAATCCGGAAAATATCTCATTGGAAACTCTGATTTGTAATAATTAAAAACCTGATTAGAGCAGGTCTTGAAAACTCCGAATTCTTCATGGTACGGTGACCTGCATATTTTCATTTTGGAAAACGGCTGTCAAAAACACCTAATTTATTCGCAATGTAACTTCTCATTCCTTAAGGAATGTCTGCCATGTTTCCTCTCTTCACATAATTATGTGTTTCCATGGGAATAATGTAAAGGACTAATTTGATATTATATATTTATAAAAATAGTATAAATTATACACTTACCAGATAAAATACATTTTTAAAAAGAGAAAGAAATAGATAAACATAAAAAAAAATTTAGGTCACCCATTTATATGTGAAATTGGACGCGTTTTTTTTTTATAAACTTATGTTACACCTGATCCAAACAATTTTTATTGGTCATCGCACGCGCGCGAACGATCTCTCTTAAATGAACATTGCCTATCTCGCAGCTTTATGTTGACTTGACAAAAAGAATTATATAGTAGGTTATTAATCTTATTAGCTCCATGTTAAGTGAATAGTTTTCTCATAACTGGCTGGCTTTTCAGTGAGTGAATAGTTCCTCACAACTGGTCTCTTAATGAGTGTTAGTGTCGGTATTGGCTTTTGAAAGTATTTAATCGAAAACTGTGGATTCTACAATGATAAACAATGTGCAATATTAGCAATATTAGCAATATAATTTAATATTGTCGGAACGAAACGGAAAATTAATAATCTCTACGCACGGTGACACAATGTTACTTGTAAATATTGATCTGTCCTCTTTCCAAGCGTGAGTCATTAACTCATGATTGGTTACACTTATGCATAACGATAATATATTAAAAGATATTCATTATCGTTATGTGATCCGGGTTTTAACGGTTCCTATTTCTTTATAGATTATTGCTAGTTCAAACAATTTCTGATAAGATTTTCTTGTAAGAGTATATATACGGGTATATTATTGTTCCTCAGATTAACGCTTGCCTGATAATCATTTACGAGAATCAATAGATGAACTATTTTGTAACTGACCTAACCCGACTAAATCGGCATTTGACGCAATCGTTAATCTGGGCAGAACATTGCATATATCACTGTTGGACCATCTTTTCTACATTTTAAAACGTAACGATAATGTGAAATTTTTATTTTCATATATATTGTATTACAATTTATTACATATGATTAAAAATATTATATAATAAAATATAAACTTTTTTTTATTCATATGCTTTTAAAGTTTGCGGATTATTTTATTATTCTTTATAATAATTGTAATTAAAGTTTAATAAAAATGGCTTTACAACTTTAGAAGTAGTTTTAAGAGTAGAGTAAATGATTTTCAAATTTTAATATAAAATTGGTTGTAAATTTTTTTGTATAACCATGTAAAAATAAAACACAGCAGAACACCAGAGTTTAAATCTAGAACTTTCTATATATAGTCAACCCTATAAATTTTGAGTTAAAAAAAATAGTTCTTTGCTTTAAGAATTACTAGTGTTGAATATTGTAAAGAACCAAATCCCAATTATTAAAAAAATAAATAACAAGAATTGCTATTAGTATACCAAGTATATATAAGTGTTTTTTTATTATTTACTTTAACTATATACAATTAAAGTTTTCTATTTTTTTGTCTAATAGGACCAAGTTTCTATTTGAACAAATAAATTCACATTCTTAATTACTCCTTCTATAATTATACTACATGTTAAAAGAATTAAATTTTTTTTTTTTTCTAGCAAAATAAACTTTTTAACAAAGTTACAACAAGCCAGATTTGATAGTGCTAATTCAGTTAATACTTTTGTTTTTAATATTTCAGGTTTGGGGTAATTATTAATATCTGGCAATTTTAGCTTTTTACCTAGAAGTTGCTTATTATATGAGCAGACAAAGATATTTATCACATCTTGAGATATAATTGATTGTCAATACTCATACATAATTTCTTTATAGTATGTATCATGTTCTAAATATCTGATTGTGTATTACTTTGCTCTACTTTATCTACATTACAATTTATGCAATTATTGTATTTATTACAAGCTAGTAAAATCTGATTGTTTGGCCATATATAATATTTTGATATCTGCTAAAATTAGCACTTGTATAAAGTAAAACAATAATATATTATTTCAAATAACCTATACTATGCTTTCACTAAATATAGTTCTCATTCAATAGTTTGATTATCCATCTTTATTACTACAAGCAGAATTGAGATTATATTTGAAAATTATTTAATCAAACTTTCAGTATATAAAACAAGTATATACAGTTAAAGGTTTAATTCGATGAATAGTATATTCAAATACAGTACACCCTCCCAAAACCAATCCTGTCAAAACCGATAGCCTGCTATAACCAATAAAAAATTGATCCACCATGTCTGTTCTATAATTAAAATCTGATAACTTGCCATTTCTGATAA